ATTGAACTCTAAGTCACTGTCATCTCTACCAACTCCTTGCTTCTTTACTAAATCGGTGACATAAAACACATATTTCACTTGACTCGCTAAAATAAATGGCTCATCTCTGTATCCAACCCTCTCAAGATCAACCGAAACAAATCCAAATTCTTCACCTACTTGCACATCATTACTATTAGCCCACTTACATTTAAAGACGGAAACTTTAAACTTGGTATAGCTAACCTCCCATATCTCTTCTATTACTCCATAATAGGACATTGACGCCAATATTGGGTTTTTATCTTTTAAACTAGCAAAATGCATAGCTTTGGCTACTACCATCACCCCACTATTATGCATAGTACTCTTATCATATTGTGTTTTTGTATAAAATGAATAACCATTTATGTCATATCCGTACCAACACACAACCTCAAAACAAGGCCCTACAACTAATCTTTGTATTATCTCAGAAGGATTACTATCTTTTGACACTTTTTGCTTGAACCACTCTACAAATGATTTGTTATGCTCATTAGCTAGTTACATATCGTTGTTTCTTGGATTCAAGTTCTTCAGCATATTCTTATAAGCATCTAAGTAAGGCAAAACTTCATCCATGTTGTTTAAAATATATAGATTTTCTTGCATTACAACAAGACATGGACTTTACTATAACACCCCGTGTTCCCTTGCTTCTCCCCTAATTATGTCGAGATTGAGGAAATCCAACTACTTTTACCCTATCAAGATATGCGTTATAAAACTCAACTGTCTCCTCAACTATATATCTCTCAATAATTAATGCCTTAGGCTGATAAGGATTCTTAGAATATCTTTTTAGGATTTTTATGTATCTCTCAAATGGGTACATCTACCTTAAACACACAGAGCCACAAAGTCTTATCTTTCACACAAGATGAGCTTTTAAATGAACCATAATGTTAAAAAAATGATGGAGAAAAGTAAATTTTTAATTGGGAGAGAATCACATAACCTTCATTTTCTAATTCATCTAACTTAGCAGGATCAATGACTTTGTTTGCAAATAGCATTGAAAAACATACAATGTATGTAATAGTGTTTATTACATCATTTTTTATGATACTTCAAATAGCAACTGGAAGTAATTGTTACATCAACACATGACAATAATGAGACTTCATTCCCATTATTTTTAAATCTTGCATTGAAATAAGCCTATTTAAATTAGAAGAATAACCTTGTGGCACCTTAATGCTATTTAAAAAACCACATAAACTTGTTTTCTTTTCCTTTGATAATATGTGCACAGCTAGATGTAAATAAGCCCTCTTACCCTATCTTTTTGGTGGGTGTAGGAGCTTTCTTATTCCAATTTTTACTAAGTCTCGTCTTGCATTGATTCTATTCTTAGTCTTTCCATTTATGTGTAAAAGTATACCAATAAGACTCTCACATACATTTTCCTCCACATGCATCATATCTAGACTATGCTTCACATCAAGACTTTACCAATATGGAAGATTGGAAAAGATAGATCTTTTTTTCATATATTCCTCTCACCGGCAGTCTTCTCCTTTTTACCAAAGATCACATTAGCTCCCTCCACTCGTTGATAAATTTCTTCTCCAGTTAATGGTATTGGAGCCATTTGATATTCTTGTGAGCCATTAAATGCCTTCTTCAACCTACAGTAGGGGTAGTGTCGACTAAGAAACCTTCTGTGACTAAAGTAAACTGTCTTCCTTTCATATTTGAGTTGCATGTAGTAAGTATCTTCTTCACATATTGGACATACTTTATGCCTCTTAACACTGTATCCGGACAAATTTTCATATGCCGAGAAGTCCTTTATCGTGGTGAAGATCATGGCACGTAAATTGAAGGTCTTTTATTTATATATGTCAAACACATCAACAATTCCTTCCATAAGTTTTTCAAGTCCTCAACCAAAGGTGCCAAATACACATCGATATTGTTTTCTAGCTATTTTGTCTCTGAGATCATCAAAGATAACATGATATACTTTTTTTTCCATATATAACCAAAGAGGCAAGTTGTAAATTACTAGAAGAATCGACCAAGCACTGTGTGTGCCACTAAAATCACCATATGGATTAATTCCTTCCGTACAGAGCCCTAGCTAAAGGTTTCTTGACTCACTACCGAATTGAGAAAATTTTTGATCTATTGCTTTCTACTGAAGAGAATCTGCAGGGTGACAAAGTTTTCCATCACATATTTTCTTGTCAGAATGCCATCTCAAGATCTTTGCTTCTGTGACATTAGCAAATAAATGCTTAAATCACGGTATTATTGGAAGATATCATAATACCTTCAAAGGAGGACCTTTAGTTATCTCATTATAATCACAATCGCCTTTCTCAACTTTGTATCTTAAAGTGCCACATTTAGGACATTTATTCAACCCTTCATACTTATTTCTAAACAATATGCAGTCACTAAGGCACGTATGTATCTTCTCATATTCCAAACTCATTGAACACAAAATTTTGCTTGCTTCATACATTCCTTTTAGAAGTGAATTCCCTTTTGGAAGAATATCACTCAACAATTCAAGCAAGTCCTTGAAACTAGCATTAGTCCAACCATTTCTTGCCTTTAAGTTCATTAACTTCAACATGGCTGTCAACCTTATGTAATCATCTTTACACCCTTGGTACAAAGATGTCTCTGCATCACTGCATAAGCTTTCACATGTAGGAGAGAACTGTGCAAAGGACTCAGACCTTATGTCACAAAACATATCCGAAATTCTATCATCAAAGTCATCATTCACAACCTTCTCCTTTCTAGACAATGTAGTCTTTCTAATTTCGCCATGCCATATCCAATTTGTATACCTCAAATTTATCTCATTACAGATAAGATGCTCTCTTATCTCAAGAATATTTCATTGACTATTGTTTAAACATTTGACAAGTGAACAATAATACAAGTCATCTCTTTTACTAGGGGTCTTTTTCTGAACAAAATCAAGAAACTTTTTAACCCTATGCTCATATTCTTTACTAATTCTCTTAACTTTCATTCAACTATGATCCATTATTCTGCAGAGTCCATGAGCATAGTTATGCTGTCAAGCTTAATTCTAACTGCTTAATTCAAATACTCAAATAAATAAAATAATTAAGTATTAGTCAATAAATTAAAATTAACTAACACTTAATTACAAATTAAAGGGAATGTCTTTTTTATTTTATGAAAATTTTGACAAAATTTCTCCTTAAATATAACAAATCTCAAATTATTTAAAAAATGGACAAATCAATCAATCAACAAATCAACAATATAATAAACAAATACAAGGTAAATTTGAAGAACTATAACTAATAAAACAAAAGTAACAATTTAATATCAAACCAATTCAATGAATAAAGATTCTTTAAGCTAAAACTTCTAAATCCAAAATAGAAACACAAATGATATCCATTTGTCATGAAATTTTAAACAACACTTTATTATCAATCAAAGTTCATAACAATAACAAAAAATTGGCCAAAACACTTAACAGATTATTTATTGGCAAATTCTCAAGTTTATTAAAAATTTTGAAATAAAATATCAAAAAATTATTAAAAATTAAAAACTTAAGAACTAATCAACTTTGAACATTTAAACATGTTTCTATGCTGTGTATAGGAAGTAATTGAGGTATTTTAACTCCAAATGTCGCCAACCAACCTCTCAAGCACATAATAAATGCAAAATAAACAATGCAAGACATCCAAAATGTAAGACCAATTAACTCATTTGAAATACAACATATTTCTATTATCAAAACATTCAAGAAACCAAGAAAAAATGAAAAAAAAAATGAAAAAAGAGGTAACTAACTTAGTGGAGATGATTAAAACGTGAGAAAAGGCAACAGTGGATGGTAGAAGACGGCGGAACACAACCACGATTGAAATGGAGGACCAAACACGGTGGGAAACAGTGGGGATTTGCCAGTATTGCAGTTCGGTGGTGGGACAGAGGAGGACCACAGTGCACTGATTGTGAAACTGTGAAAATGTGAAAAACAGAATGCACAATAGGGTTGAGTTTTAAACTTTCCATGGCAGTTATTAATATAACTGTCATGAAAAGAACTTTTAAAACAGTTATTATTCTTCACCGCCATTACAAGTGCCTTCCATGGTAGTTATCTTAATAACCGTTGTGGAAAGTTAACAGTCACGCTATTTATTTACAAAAATACCACTGCCTTTTTTTCTACGGTTTTTTTTAAACTGCTGTTGTTCCCCGATATTATATGCCTTTTTTGTAGTAGTGTGTTATTAGGCATATGGAAGGATAGATGTGGTAAAATTATTCACAGGAGCCTAACTCTAAGATAGATTTAGTCTTAGGAGGTTACTTAAAGAACTATCAAGGCCTATCTCTTGAAAAACCGTCCTCAACCCATCCTACATATATCACTCTTTACTTTAAAATGGTGAAACGACTTGCGCTGCTTACTCCAGGATAGTAAGGGAATTTGGAAACTTGGTCTCATCAAAAAAATTAGGATACACTCCTCATACAGTTGCAAAGATTACGGGAACTCATGAAGGTTTTTGTTTTAGTTGGAAGCATAATTACTGCAAAATTGCCGTTTTTAGTGACTATGCAGAAGCTTTACAGCTCAACCTCTTAATGGTTGGCTAAGAAAACTAAGCAAAATTTTGAGGCATGATTGGATTTTCACATTTGATCTCATGTTAAAAGAACCTAATCATTATGCTGATTCTTTGACCCAATAAAATCAACAACAACAAAGTCTTATCCTATTAGATGAGATCGGCTATATAGATAGTGAGATGCCATGGAGCTATATTAAAAGCCAAATCTTTAGATATATTGTTAATTGAAACATCTCATTCAATAACTACATGGAGTGTTCTCTTTTGCCTTTGACCCACTAAGGTCAACAAATGGATATTTGAGTTGTCATCATGGATATTTTCCCTGCAGATCACACGAGAAAAATCTTACAACATCATAGACATTGCATGTTACTAGGATATATACAATACTAGTTAAACACAAGAACTATCTAAAACCAAGCATACACAATATCAAAAGACATGAAGACCAACAAATGGTTTATTCATAGCACAATGTGAACAGACTGTACAAACATATGTTTATTTGTTGCTTCTTCAACTTGTTCTAGTCAAAGATATGCAGAGACTGACATGGACAAGGTTTCCCTTAGACATACGATCTGCTAATATGTCTTGGCAATGTGGGAAAACATTGTCCGTTACAACTTCACCAAAGTGGGTCACAAGCAAAGGTTCAGCCACAGCCCTCATGAATTGTGTAATTTGGTATTCTTTTCTATCATTACGTTTCTCATCATAAGCATCATCCCAACTTGTTTCAAATACCTCTAAGTGATTAATAGTGAAGGACCCTTCTCTTTCAATCTCTGATTCCAATTTAGATGAGGATGGAGTATAGGAAAAATCCTGCCATAGAAAGAACGAGGAACTCCAGCGATGTAACACGAACCAATCCCACCTGCCACTCCTTCTCTTAGCTTCAGTTTGAAGCTTTCAATAGACTTGAAGATGTTGTTAAAGTCATTGCTTGGTAGGTCATTTAAGAAGATCGTGTATTCTGGAGATTCATGGTTTAGGTCTCTGCAAAGCTTCTCCACAGTTTCGATCAGTTCACAAGTGACAAAAGAAGTGTTTGGTCCAGAAGAACAACCCAATTCTGCAATTGCTTGGCTTAGAGGGAATGTTTCTCTATAGAAGCACTGTATAGCTTCATCTCTCATGGGCTTTGTCAAAGAAACCGCCTTTCTCTATCCACATTGATTGTGTACGTTACTCCTCCAGTCCTTAATATAAGACCTATTTAACAAATTTGATTAGATTAAGAAAGTTAGATAAGTTAATTAATTATAAAAAATATGGAATGTTTTGCCTAAACTACCATAATCATTTTTCTTAAAATCCTTCCTCTCTCACGTACTTGATTATGGTTGATAGAGTATCTATAAGGATAATTTATAAAAAATTAATAAATATGATAAATAAGTCTTATATTTAGGACCAAAATGAACTTAACAATTAGATCCTATATCAAGGACCGAAAGAGTATTTTATTAGTTAATATACATGATATTATAGAACTTTCATATACCCTAATGGAAGCATGCGTGTAATTGGGACGTTGGAAAGGACTGGACGAAGGTAGATATAAACCTCTAATAAAGAATTGTTTGCATTGCTTGTTTCTCCAATGCCTCCATTCACGCGCAACACTTGAGCCACATCCATTCTCGAATTATTCCACAGGTATGCTGCTCAATAATAAGGATCAATAATGATCTTTAACCCGCATGCATCTATTAAAAGAAATATGAGACCCAGTTTTCGCCTTTAGCCTATAATCACGTCAAATAGTTAATTCCTCTTAAAAGCTTATCGAAATTCATCAATTCCCTATTTTTTAAAATAAATCACTGGATACCATTCACTAATTAAGCAAATACAATGCAAAACAATAGAAGCTAGCTTATTTCATCAAAACCCAGTTCCTGATTGATTAACAGGTGAGAGTTGATCAGGAATACAAAAATTACCCATTACCCTTTATACGAAAAAAGAAGAGAGGCTTAGCTAAATAAATAGTTGACAAAAGTAAGGTTCTCCCTAGGACTCTCTCTTAACAACACCTCGCTAAAATACTACAAACTATAAGAAGCTTCAGTTAACCATAAAAGTTGATACCAAAATTGTGGGTTGATACCAAAATTGTGGCAACACGAACTGGCAACAATACAAGAAAACAAATTTTTTTCCTCGGACAAATTTGAGAGACAACATAGAAAGCCAGACGTGAATTATTTTTCCATCGAATTTTGTCCCAAATAAAATTAAGAGAGAAGCAGCCCATAGAAAAAATTGAGTGAAATACTCTAACCACCTTTTTAGTTTACATCAATTACATATACCTCCTTTGCATTTTAAAAATATATAGTTTAGTTTAATCAGTTAACACCATTATGAATACTCTAAAGAGATTCTAAATATATTATTTTTAACTAAAATTTATATTAAAATAAATTTTATTTACTATTTACCCCTCATTCTAATAAATTCTTAAATTATATTTTTACAGTTACATGAATTTTATTCAGTTAAGGGAAACATAAAAGACTTGATTAAAAATTTAACTAATTTTTTCAATAAATATATATTTACTTGACTAAATATGTTTATAAATTTTTGTTGCAGAGATTTGTTTAAAAGTTTTGAATTATAAATTTAAATAATTTATAAAATCTTTCAAACTTATATTATTTAAAAAAACTATATATTTGAAACATTTTTTACAATTTAAAAGAAATCAAAGTAAATAATTTCTAATGAATGTTATAAAAAATTAAAATTATAAAATTTTATGATTTAAATCAAAATTAATAAATTTTATAACATATTCAAAATTTTAAAAATATATGTATCAGAATTATTTTTTGATTTTATAAAAACATTTTTTGAAAAATATAAATTTCTAAATAATTATTATGTAATAAAAAAGGTATTTTGGTTGAAAAATCATTTAAAATCAAACTTAACGGTCAAGTAACGTTTGGGCAGATGAAAATGAAATCTTAAATATAGAAGGGAGGTTTATGTAATATGTGTTTTAATTTTAATAGAGGTTTATATATATTTTCAAAATAAGGAGAAGGTTTTTATAATTAAGATAAAATAAAAAAGGTGATCACTTTATTTTACTCAAAAAAGTTTTTCTCCCGGAACCCTTCCAGGGAAATTCTCTCTTATAAAAAAATTCGGAGAGAAACTTTCTCACATAACATTTCGAGCAACGCAAGTTGCTTAGAAACACTAATTAATCTTCAGCCCTTTTCCATTATCAACAAGTCGGGACACGAAGCAAGGTAATAATTCTAACAGACAATTATGTAACAATGGGAACAAGGTAGAGAAGTTAAAAGATACGGATCAGAATAAGTGGACCCAACAAGAAATGAAATATAACTAGGAACCCCCTAATAAATGAACGTGGAGGATTATTGTTGAAAACACCTGCATAAATAACAAAATTGTGGTTCAAATTCTGTTGAAGGACACTGTCTTTAAAAATTGTTCCGTCACATAGGGTTGGAATAAAAAGCAGCACTTTTCAGAATTAAAAAAACTTTTTCTACAGAGTAAGTAACAAAACAATAGAAATTTGAGACTCAGGAAAAAATAGTCAAGGAAAGCTTGGTGCGTAATAGAACACAACACTACCTGACTATCCACCAACATTACCTTTTATAGACAGATAGTATATGACTATTGAGTTGCCATGCTGGTGATTAAAGAAGATTTTAATGACAATTAAAAGAGCAGTTTTTAAATAATTGATTAAGGTGAATTAAAATATTCTAAGGTCATTAAATTAAATCTAGTTAATAAAAAAATAAAATTGATTAATTAAAGTATATAAATGCTTCAACAGCCATCTCAAACTTTCAATTTTAAAGATTCTTTCTCTCAACCATTTTATTAGCTTAAACTCACATCTCAATAAATACTAAACATTAATGTGTTTTCAATTTTAATTAATATAAAACTTCTTTTGACACAATCACACACTAAAACTCCAACAATTATGAGTTTGATATATAGCGAATTAGCAAGCATGTTATTCCTGACAGCTTAAAAGTGTTATCGTATTCAATTATAGGCAAGAAGCTCCGAAATATAGCCGTGCAAGTGGATTAATAAAGATTACTTCTGATATCAAACAGAATCATCTTCACAGAAAAATTGGGACGAGTGAGTCGGAAGCTTCACTGGGAGCTTGAAAACTTGAGAGACTCGCACCGGACTGGAAAAGAGCAGCGGCGTGGATGAAGGGCGAGTTTAGAGAATAAGAAATCAGTGGGTATGGAAGAATGGAAGCTTACCTCTCTTCTCCAGATGACGATGCGGACCTGGGCGACGGTTGGGGTCGGTGGTGAAGATTTAGAAGAGCTCAATGGGTGACGGTAATAAGAGGAGCAAGATGGGCGAAGAGGAACACGGTGGGCAGCAGGAGAATGAAGAGGGCATTTTATCACGATTAATCACCAGCGATATGAGGAACAGCAATGCAGGAAGTATAAACAATTGTGAATAATTATTGCAGAAGTATAAACAACTAGATTCAGTTGTAGGAAGAAGGCTGTTATGTTAGGTGGGAAGCGAAGATCAAGAAAGATAAATAGCTACCGGCATTGGTGGGCTCACTGTTGTGTGGTTTAAGGGGACTATGGTTTCGTTTGTAAGAAAAGTTGAAAATGAGGGATAGAAAATGGGATTGCAATTAAAAAAATCATTAAAAATGTATTTAGTATAAGTAATTGCTTATTATATGGATTAGACAAATCCATAGAGATGGGATTGGGGAATAACTTTTCCCCCATGATATTTTCCAATCTCACATGCATGGGTTTATTTAATCTATATAATAAGCAATCTCTCATGCTAAATAATTTTTTTAATAGATCCTCTCAATCCTAATCCCAATCATACTCCTTATTTTCAATACTTCAGAGTAAATAGGAGCTATGAGCTTTTCTTCATTATCTATAGGATCATCAAATGGTTGGTCCTGCCACCAAACTGAATCTTTTCCATCAGTGATTCCCTTTCCTTGAATTGTGATTCCCACAAGTTTTGAGAATTCTAGCCACTGGAACAATCCTCCTCCCCAGGCCTGTGGGTCTGTTGGGGCAATAATTATACCATCAAGCTATCAAAATATCACCTCATCAGTCACAACTAAAGAAGGATTAACATTTAAAAAAAATTTTAGAGAGCTATCTAAATCTTGATGAGCCTATGATTCTTGAACCTGTTTCTGATAAATGTGATCTTTTTGCATTGGTGTGTGAATGATATTTGGTTTGTGAAGACTGAGATTCACATTACTGCTATCTTGTTCTGAGGTTGTATGTTACCTGAAAAACTATGTTGGATTTACAGTATGGACCTGAAAATGAAATGGGCCCCACTTTGAAAATGTAATTTGCTAGGACCAGCATGGTTGATGCCTCCATCTTACAAGCGGCTACCCATCTGTCTTGGAATGCCTGCACTATACCAAGGTTAATAAAAAAACATAACTTTGAGTATTAACTAAAATAATAAGGTGGGGGAAAAAAAAGCTACTTACTTTGAAACTGTAAACTGTATTTATAACTAAGAGTAATAAGGATAAGTGTTAGGTTGTACGTATGTGTGTCATTTATAATTGCAGTGGGAACTAGGATGCAACTGTCTTAATGAGAATCCTTTTTCCAAGTGGGCCCTACCTCCTTAAATTGTTGTTGTGTCTTTACCTTTATGGATTTCACAATCATGAGCTTTCACATATAATGAATTTGTATTCGGAGCAACCTTTTTTTCATGGCAATTATTAATTTCATGGTGACATGGATGGGAGAAAAAGACAGAAAAAAGAAACACTGATGGAAACCTTATGCCACAACAGCATATTGGCTCATTATTCTATCTCTGCCAGAAAAGATTATAGTCTTGTGATTTTGAAGGCCCTCCCTCGCAAAACAAAAAAAGATGAATGCTTTCTGGATCAAAGAACATGGGTGCAATTACCAAAACCTAGAATTTTCCCAACTACTAAGGTTTTTCATACAATTCTAGTTCCTGTGTCAGTTTCACGTTTTTTAACAATTCCAAAGCGCATTCTACTGAATTCTGATGCTTAAAATTATTCTGTAACAGCTTAAGAAGCTGACAAACATTAGAACAAGACCAAATATGAGGTGGTGTTCATGTTGCATCATGTCTGTTATGATTGAAGTATCATTGGTTTATAGGTAATCATGAAAACATGCTAACTTTTTCTTCCCAATTCACATGCCCGGTAAATTCCCAAGAGTTATCAGAATGAACAGAAACAGAACCATGTTCGAAAGCAGAAGATTCATTGATTTACCTTTGTATCGTCAGAAATTCCATCACCCTTGGCTGTAAAATCAAGCACATCAACGTATCTTTTAATACTGTTTCCCTCAAGCCATGGCTCAACTGGCTTATTAATTGGCTTTAGACTCATTTTACTGTTCATAAGGGATATCTGGTTTAATAATAATCTATCAGCCCCTCCCATGTCCTCTTTCTCTGCCTCCAGCCATCAGTTTCTTTTTCAAACACACCCCTTACTCTCTCTCAGATTTTCTTCATCCGTCTCTTCTTCTTCAGTCTCCATCTTCACTAATGAGGAGCTAAACATTGAAGGTGGTGGAGAGATCTACTGACCACGACGACCACAGAGAGGCACTGATGAGGATGGCGATGATGTTGGGGAGCGAAGATGAGGAGATTATGGCCACAGGAAGTTGATTGACGGAAGTAGGGGCTACACATTGGTCCTCACCCTCTCTCTATTCCATCGCATTCTTCTTTTTCATTTCTCAGTGAGGAGAGTAGGGAGATCTAGCTGCCTTGGCAATGACGGAGAAGCCATGATCACCATGGCCATGATGGTTGGGAGGCAGAGATGAGAGGGATCGGCGGTGATTTTTTTCAGGCAAGGATGTGACGGATGCATTTGAAAGGTTGCATCATGAATTCATAGAAAGGAGTATGTCATTGATCTTTATACCTGCTGCATTTGAAAGCATCATAATTGTAAGGAGTATGTCATTGATCTTGATACTTGCTGCACTTGCCTTCAGGTTCATTTGAAAAAGAATAGTGGATGTTTCGACTTCATGATATCCCCTGTTTCTTTTTCACGTGTATAGAAATTGAACAGGGCAGTAAATCTACGAGATGATCATGATTGTACATTTATATTGTAATCCTTGTTGGTTTAAGAGTGAGAAACAGCAAAAATATATAGAGCAAATAGGGAACACGAGAAGGTGCAAAGGTAATTTGCTTCTCTAAAATTTCTATTACTTAAAAAAATACTGATTACAGTGGAATTTAAAGACAAAAAATAACAGACTTCTTTGAAAAATAATTTAACAGAAATAATTAGTAATCAAATCCATTCCTAATTTTCAGCTACCTATTATCCCATTTTCCTGCAAATCGTTGAGTCTGAGATTTTAGCATATCTCGTTCCTAGCTTCCAGTGGCCCACTCTTACAAGACGTTGAATCAGTTTCAGAGATTTGTGGGAGTTGCTTCCGAAATCCCCTCCAGTACATTTTGAATCACATCTCCAACACTCCCCCTTAATTCAAAATCACTAACTCCAAGTAAGCTTCTAAGATACACGTCTTTGAGTCGGTAGAGCTTTAGTGAGGATATCTGAAAATTGAACTTCAGTGCTACAATATTTCATAATTAATTCACCTTTTACAACCAACTCGCGGATGTAATGAAACCTCAGATCTATGTGCTTGGTTCTTCCATGAAACACTGGATTTTTTGTTATTGCTATAGCTGATTTGTTATCACAGAACAACTAAGTTCCTTCTTCTTGCTTTTGCTGCAAATCATCTAACATTTTTCTGAGCCAAATGCATTGACTTGCTGTGGTAGTTACTGATATATACTCTACCTTTGCCGTTGATAGAGTTACAGTAGCTTGTTTTATTGGCATCTATGTGATTACTCCTTAACGCAAGTTAAAAATATTTCCAGTTGTGCTCTTCCTATCATCTAAAGAGCTTGCCCAGTCACTGTCGCTATATCCAGTCAACTTGAAATGAGTTACAGGAGTGTGCTAGATTCCATAGCCTACTATTCTAGCAATATATCTTAGAATTCGTTTTGCCACACCATAATGCTCCTTTGATGGATTGCACATAAACCTTGACACAACACCTACCGAAAAAGATATATCCGGTCTTGTGTGTGTTAGGTACATTAAACCACCAACTAAGCTTCTGTACAGCTTCTGGTTCACTTTTTCAGCTCTATCTTCTTGCTACAACTTTTGTTTCAGATTCATGGGAGTAGCTTTTACAGTGCAATTAAGCATTTAAATCTTTTCAGCAACTCTGTTGCATATTTCTTTTGACAAACAAAAATTCCAGCTTTGTCTTGCACAATCTTTAGGCCCAGAAAATAATATAAGAAGCCTAAATCTGTCATCTCAAACATGTTCATCATGTAGCCTTTAAATTCTTCTAATAGGGACATATTAGAGCCCATATAACTTATGTCATCTACATAGAGGCAAAGAATCATAAAGTTAGTAGCTTGCTTCTTTATGTAGAGAGTAGGCTCATTCTCACTTTTTGCAAATCCATTTTGTTGAAAGTAAGCATCAATCTTGCTGCACCATGCCCGGGGAGCTTGTTTTAGCCCATAGAGTGCCTTGTTTAACTTATAGACTTCCCCCTCCTTTCCTTGAATCTCAAAACCTTCAGGTTGTGCAACATAAACCTCCTCTTCAAGGTCTCTATTTAGGAATGCATATTTGACATCTAGTTGGTACACCATCCATTTGTGTTGGGCTGCTAGTGCTAGGAGAATTCTTACTATTTCAAACCTTGCAACAGGAGAGAATGTCTCTTTAAAGTCAACTCCTTGTTGTTGAGAGTATCCCTTTGCCACCAATCAAGCTTTGTATTTTTTAGTACTACCATCTACATTAAGCTTGGTTTTAAAGACCCATTTCAGCCTAATCACATTTTTACCTTCTGGTAAATTTGTCAACTCCCATGTTGAGTTCTTTTCTATAGCTGCAAGTTCCTCTTTCATGGCCTCCATCTACACTTCTTCCTTTACTGCCTCTTGATAAGCAATAAGATCTGAAGCTAGCATGACAAATTCATCATTTTCATAGATCTCTCTTAATGATCTAAATCTCCTTGGTGGTGTCTCATTTAATGACACACTAGTTGAACTTGTGTTGCCTTTTGATGGTGTTACTGGACTGCTACTAGCTGAAATGATTGGAGTTGATGGATTAATTGAGGTTGTGGTTATCTCCTCAATTAATGGCATCTGAAGTGGACTTGCACTGCTATTTGTAATTTTTACCCCAATTCCAGCCTGCGTCTTCATTAAATAATAGGTTTCTGCTAACAATTATCTTTCATTCAAGAAGATCATGCATCTTATATGCCTTAGACTCAAAACACATTATTGAGACTTTTCATCAAGCCTTTGGTGATGTTGACAATTAACTAAGACATAAGCAATACAACTAAACACTCTTAAATGGTTTACAATGGGTTTTCTCCCTTTCCATGCTTCATATGCAGTACAATCTTGCACTGCTTTTGTTGGGGAGAGGTTTAGCAAATAAACTGCCATTGCTACGGCCTCTGCCCAATAGGAATCTGGCATTCCTTTCCCTTTCAGTAAGCTTCTTGCCATTTCCACCACCATTTTGTTCTTGCGTTTTGCTACACCATTCTGTTCTGGTGTGTATGGTGCTGTCAATTCATGTTGTATCCCATTCTCTTCACAAAAAAGGATGAATTCATTGAGAGAAATTCTCCACCTCTGTCAGTGCGCAGAACTTTAATACTTGCTCCACTTTGCTTCTCAACCATGCCTTTGAACTTCCTAAAATTCTCAAACATTTCTGATTTGGCTTTTAGGAAGTACACCTAGCTCATCTTGCTAAAATCATCAATAGAAAGAAGAAAGTAGAAGCTGCTGCCTAGTGATGCTATATTCATAAGACCACACAAATTAGCATGTACAAGTTCAGGACCTTCATTAGCTCTCCATGCTTTTCTAATAGGATCAGATTTTTTTTCTTTGCTTCCCATACATACAGCCTTCACATATGCCAAGTTCAGTAATTTTTGGTAAGCCATAAACAACACCTTTCTTCTCCAATAGTTGCAACCCATTGATATTTAAGTGTCCATAGCGCAAGTGCCACAGCTTGGACTCATCTTTCTCACTAACCACGAAGGCATACTCTTGCATAACCTTGATATCAAATGGGAACATTCCATTTTTGGTCATCAGTATCCTTATAACCACTTGATTTGACTCCTTATATCTAATGACGCATTCTCGATTGTCAAATAAAACAGAGAAGCCACTCTCCATTATCTGACCTACACTCAACGGGTTATATGCCAAGTTAGATGCAAGTTGAACATTTTCTATGTATTTAGTTTTACCTGGAGCATATTCAATGGTTACTGTCCCTTTTCCTTCAACCTCCATCTTTGTATCATCTCCAAGTTTCACTGTATTCTTTGAGTCTGATCATGTTGTTTGAAGATGGTTGTGCTCTCAGTCATATGGTTTGAATAGCCATTGTCCACAAACCAAACTTCGCCTTTTTCTACAGTTGGGTCAGTATATGCCATAAATAATTTTGTTTTATCATCAGTTACCTCAGAAAAACTTGCTTGATTGTCATTGAAGCAACAATCAACTTTCACATGCCCATATTTTTTACAGTTATGGCACTAAATATTGCTTCTATTGTTGTAGCCAAATCTGCCATCTCCTCTGTCACGGTTATTGGAGTTTCTACCTCTACCTCCTCTACCTCTGCCTCTTCCATGACCAGCACCTTTTTCATTCTCCTTTGGACTTTCTTCTTTGGCTTAAAATTCCTTTTCTTCATTCTTAGCCTCCTTTTTATTGATTCTTGCCTCATATGATTGTATCAACTCATCAAATGAATAAGTTGATGGATCATTAGACCCCTCAATTGCTGCAACAACATGGTCAAATTTAGGAGGTAATGATCTTAATACGTGAGTTACCACCCTCTTTTCTAACATCTCATCTCTAAATGATCTTATCTGATTGACCATTGCTGCCACTTTGGTCATATATTCCTGCACTGATTCTATATTTTTTATTTGCAGAGTCTAGAACTCACGGTGCAAGGTCTGCAGCTTGACTCAAACAACTGTTGATGAGCCATGGAAGGATGTTCGAAGAATTGCCCAAGCCTCCTTTGCAGTTGAGGCTATAGCAATTTTAGAAAAAATCAAGTCATCCACTGCTTGCTGGATGAAGAACAACGCCTTTGAATCTCTTTTCTTATTCTCCTTCAGTCTGGCCTCCTCATCAATCTCACTGTAGCCATTCTCTACCAAGTCCCATAGCTCTTAAGACTTGAAGAGAGTCTTCATTTTGATGCTCCAGAACTCATAGTTTCCGCCTTTAAAG